GGGAGAAGACCAATTGGGATGTTACCATTTTCAGTACCTGCAGATACCTAAATTTATCTAATCAACATAAATAAAATTGTATGGTACATGTACTGTTATTGTACTGTAAATTAATTTTTTTAAAGCCATGGGCTCTAAAGTAATAAAAATACAAGTAGGAGGTAAACAAGTAAATTGAATGCTATTATTAACATAAAATCTCCCAAACTGTCTGAACTAAGTATAATGAACAGTTCTTGTAGTATAAGTAATATCACTGTTCCAAAGTTCATCACAGCTTGATTTTTGACCGTATACTTCTGAGCTATCCTTTAATATAAAAAACTGATCTGAAGAAAAATCAAACTTTGTATAAACATCACTTATGTTACATATATGTGTCCATTAAATTATTTACTTTTTTTTAAAATTTAAATATGCTATAATGTGACTTTTTCAAATATGCATCACAAATCTACCATTTAAATAATTTTGACCTTTTTTTCTGTGCATTCAAACACCTATTTGATTAAAATATTTCATAAACGTATATAATGACTTTTTCTGGACATGCTCCATTTAAAAAACTTTACTCTGTCATTTATTGCTACTTTTATCTTGTGAATTTTTTTTCCTGTGACATTTTTTTCCAGTGGTTTTTTCCCTATAGTTTTCTGTGACTTTCATGCTTGCGACTTATCATTTTGATTTTTAACAAAATTAGAAATCATATCAAAATAGCCTTTTCCTTTAGTTTAATTCAACTTAAGAATTTTATTTATGCACAAATTGAAACGTCATTTTTAGCTCAACTGATCCCTCTTTGGGTCAGGTGACCCTATATTGACCCCTTAAGGAGTTTATATTCAATTTTTAACAATTTTTTTGTAAATTTTTGTAATCTTTTACAAAAATCTTCTCCACTTAATCTACTAGGCCAAATAAAATTAAACATAGCCGCGATTTTCAATAGGGTATCTTGATTGAAAAATATATCCGATGACCATGTTTCTCAACCAACATGGCCGCCATGACTAAAAGTAGAACATAGGGGTTTACTATAGAAGTCTATGGGAAAATTGTAATAAAACAATTTCAAATGGTCACAACATAAAAACTAATTTAAATAATGATAAGGGGTCTTCAGTTACTATTATAAGACTACAATGGGATGACTTGATTTTTTTCCAGGGGGGTAGCAATTTGTTCAGGGGGGGGGGGGGTGCTTATTATTTATGCTTGATATTTTCCATTTTCACAATTATTCAGTGTTGCTTTTCTATAAACCATTATATCGTCTCTTTCAGCATACTTATATTGGATGAATCCCTGCCCAAATTTTTTTTGAAAGGTTTTCCAAAAAACATTTAGAGGCATTTCCAGCATTATACAGGCCCTGGGTGAAATTAATTTTAGATAGAGGGGTATTCAATTGGTGTTCGTTTGGGAGACTTTCATGACAGCATTCTTTTGCAATGATATCTCGTTTGAAGGAAATTTTGCAATTTTTGTTAACTATCTTGAATATCATTATAGATTGGGATATACTGTAAACAGCAAAGATACCAAGCAAAGAAAGATCTACAAGTAAGTCAACACCACCGAAATCGTAAATTGACATTTATTTGGAGTTATTGTCCTTTAAAGTCATTTTCTGTAATTTATTGATAATTTTTGTAAACTTTTTTCAAAGATATTCCGCCTTTAATTTAACTACTGGGTCAAATTTAACCAAACATGGCCTCAATCATTATAAGGGTATCTTATACTATTTGTTATGATTTCAATCTTATTTTACATGATTTCCAAAACCACAGTAGATACAGGTGAGCGACACTTTGTTTTTCAATTCCTGTAATGACCAATATTTGCTTGTGATTTTTTGGGACAATCCTACCATATTTTATTTTATACTATTTATTATTTGTTATGTTTATTACTGATATGTTACTTTTGCTTTGTATCGATCTGATAAGTCAAGTCCTTTTCAACTGAGTTTGACAGTCGTTCTTCTTTGTTGTGCTGTTACAGTACTGTCCAGATAAAGGCGAGGAGAGGGTTGATATCCCGCAAACATGTTTACCTCCACCATATTCTGTATGTGCCTGTCCTAAGTCCAGAGTCTGTAACGCAGTGGCTGTCGTTTGTTACTGTATAACAAGAATCACAGAACTGAACCATGTCGAACATGAACTAAACCATGACACTACTGAACCAAACCATGACATCGAATTTTCAGTATTCCTAAATTGTGTGCAAAAGTAGCTATTTTTCGGTATAATTGACGGCAGTTTCATATTATAACGAAATATGTGATGTAACAGACAGTAAACAAATCACTTTTTTATGCATGAGAAACGAATAAGTAACTTTTAGAAATTGACTTAAGCATTATTCTGTGTCAAATCATTAACTATATGATACATATTTTAATGAACTAACATATTATAGCTATAAACAAAAATACTTACCAGCTTGAATTTATGTTCAGAAGTTCCTTTAGCAAAAATTCCGAATGTTTATATTGTGTCAATGTTTATCATTAAAAACACTTAACACCATCATGTCCAACTTAACAAAACTATGACAAAATCACTGTACTAAACGCTCCTCGATATGGCAACGTTACTACCATAGAGACACAATACATAAAGTAAAAAAATGTACAAACACCAAACAAACAGTGCACGTTCACATATTGTAGTACATATGGCATATACATGTAAATGAAGCAGACGGATCAGCTCATAAAAAACACAATAAATGACATAATTTATAGCCTGATAATTCATATAATTATAGCACATATAAAGATAAATTAATTATGACATGAAGGTAAATTGAGAGATCATTAATTTCTTCCATCATATGAATGATAAATCACATTGAATTTATTTTGAATTTAAATTGCATTGCAACGAATACCCGATGCATTTAACCGTATGCCGTACGTTTTTAAATGCTGGATACATATTTTAATATAACACATTTATTTAGGATAAAAGAAACAACTGCACCAAAGGTTTGTTAAACCACTTTATCATATATTTAGTAATAAGTACAGTAGTTTTGAATATTTGATAAATAGCCTGCTGTTTAATCCGTATCGCTCAACGGTGATGCGCACCCTTTATCACATCCCATTATCACACCCCTACCCTTTATCACACCCCTACTCAAATTTCTCATTCTTGACAGAAGTGATTTCGACTAAATTTACATGAAGTCCATGTTTTAATTTATGCAAGCTTCTCAAGAAATATTTGTCCTAAATGGGTCCTAAATGAAACGGTCATTAGGGCGTGACGTCATATAATTTTTTGGCATGTTACGTCACAGACGTCGAGTTTTCATATTTTCTGGCACACGAAATGCCACTGTAGAATAGAACTCAATGAAATACCATACAAAACACACAAAAATACAATAAACAAACTATTTCTATGAACAACAGGACGCAAATTGTGAGGTAACCCAGGTGCTTCGGTTGAATAATTAAGCAGTTCTTTTAAAGCTTTTAAAACAAAACAAAAGTAAATCAGAAGGTAACCCATGTGCTAGGGATCAGAAAGCAGTTCATATATACTCTCCTGTTTAAATATATGATAAAGCGCATAAAACATGGCAAAATCCGTATCACATGCCGTATCACCCTCGACCAATATTATCCCTCGGGCCTAAAGGCTCTAGGGCTGATATTGATATCTCGGGATGATACGGCATATGATACGGATTTTGCCATGTATTATTCTCTATGTAAAACTATTTTTTAGATTCAGAGCGATACAGGATTTGACATATTGTTCAGACATCTGCCCATTGGTGAAAGCCGAAATTTGTTGTCCATTTGAAGTATACCCAACATCTCCTTTTATCTATATGTAGTTCTGATGATGTTTGAAATCCAGATATTTTGGTTTACGTTATATCTAATTTCATATATGATAACTGTTTAACAATAGTTTCCTGAAAAAAACCCAAAAACAGTTGAATGATTTTTCAAGGTTTGATAGTTTCAGCATAGGATCTTCACTCCTATATTGAAACTCCTTTGAACACGAATTGGGTGACAAGTCCAAGTCATGATCGAAAGGGTCGAACGAATATGCCAAATGTTTATTACAACTGTACCCATTATACCATTGTTAGAACGTGAAAGTAACATCAATTTTGTTATTGCTGTTACTTAATGTTTGAATTGTCACTGATGTTTATCTGATGATGCCGTTAACTTGTGTAAAAATACTAGTTCCAAACTTACGACAAATATACTATGACAACCCAATATAAATTTGAATGTTTTATACTAACATTACTATTTTTAAAAATGACTCGTTTTGTGTCTGGATTATTCAATTCTGTTAATTTCTATGAAATTGTGTGTGAAAAAAACGTTAAACTGCTTTTTAACTTGAAAGCTTATGTAAAACTATAATGTGTAATGTTATAGAAGAAGTATGGGGTGATGGGGGGGGGGGGGGGGGGGAGGGGGGACTTTTTGTATTTGTTTGTTTTACGTGCTTTTACATGTTTAGTTTGATCCATGCAAATTTCAAAATCATGCCTTAATTGTGGAGGAATATTTTCTTCCGGTTCCCATGAATTACTTCTGTGACCAAAGCCTATCCATTTTCTGTAATAATGCATTTCTGTGTTTATATGTTTTGCTTTAACTATCCGTTCTCCAAGATACAGATCTGAAACCTCGTTATTTCGGTCATCATCGGTGTGCTGTTGTACTTGACTATTGTTTATTATTTACTGCCAACTATAGCTAAGCAACCATTCAACCCGTTATTTACCTTCGACTATATCTGAGCAGCTATTCAATCCGTTATTTACTGCCAACTTAATCTCAGTAACCATTCAACCCGTTATTTATTTCAAACTATATCTCAGTAACCATTTAAACAGTTACTTATTTCCAAAATATATCTCAGCAACCATACGACCCGTTACTTATTTCCATCTATATCTCAGTTACAATACAACCGTTACTTATATCCATCTATATCTCATCAACCATTCAACCCGTTATTTATTTCCAACTATAGTCAATAACAAGTAATCGATACGACAAGCACAAACTTGTGTTATTACAAGAAGAATTGTATATTTCAAAATTATTTATTGTACCTGCTCCTTTGATTTTCAAAAATATTTTCGTAATAATATTATTTCTTTATTTACATGTCCAAATATAAAAAAAAACCCACTATCACTACTTGTCGCCTAAATGTCGTCTACCGTTTCCATTTCATAACATAATAACCTAACACACGTAAAACTATAAATAAGATTCCTAGACTGGCTATATAACAAAAATAAGGACAGTCAATCCCGGAATCTTTTAGAACGTCAGTTATAGTAATGAATGTTGTGTTTCCAATGCATGATGGGTTAAGTTCAGCTGAAGTTGTATTACACCTGAAATATAAAAAAAAAATTGTACGAGTTCCGCGGAACCCAGTCTCGCCTACTTTTGCTGTTATCTATGTTTTCAGTGTGATAGGGGAATGCACATAATAGATTTACAGTTAATGAAATAAAACGTTTGAAATGTATGAAAAAAGTTATGCTTGTAAAAATGAATACAGTATGGAATCAAATCTATAGATTTATAAAAGAGTTGAAACATAAATTGATTGAATGAACAAATGATAAAGAAGATAATTTTTACATTGTTTGATGATTTATCCCTTAATTCAGACGACGACGGAATGTAGGATCGCTATGTCAACAAAAATGGGGAAAAATTATTAAAACTTTTCCTCTAGATACTATCTTTTGATTGTAAGAAGCTTCTGTCCAAGTTTGGTAAAAATCCAGGATGGTTTATGAATCTAATAAATGTTTTAAAAACTTAAACTGCAGACTGTATGTAATATGTTAACTGGAAGAAAAACTAAGTCCATTTATAAGTAATATACGGAAAAACAGGAAATAATTTTTTACAAAATTTCCTTCTAGATACATTTACTAGCTTTGATCATAAACAAGCTTCTGTCCAAGTTTGGTAAAATTCCTGGATAGTTTTAAGAAAGTTATTAAAATTTTAAAAACTTTAACCACAGAGTGAATGTAATGTTAAATGGCAGAAAAACTAAGTCCATTTTTAAGTAAAATACGAAAAAAATGAAATTTTTTTTTAACAAATTTACTTCTGGATACTATCTTGTGATCATAAACAAGCTTTTGTCCACCAAGTTTGGTACAAATCCAGGATAGTTTAAGTAAGTTGTTAAAATTTCAAAAACTTTAACCACAGAGTGAATATTTGTGGACGCCGCCGCCGACGACGACGACGACGCCGACGGAATGTAGGATCGCTGTGTCTCGTATTTTCGACTAAAGTCGAAGGCTCGACAAAAATAATAAGCAGCTTGATCACAATGAATAACTGTACATGCTCTAACCATAAAACAGGCATACCTTGAATAACAGTACATGCTCTTACACAGGCATTCTCTGATTAACAGTAGATGCTCTTACCCTAAAACAGGCATTCTCTGAATAACAGTAGATGGTCTTACTATAAAACAGGCATTCCATCTGTACTCAGTATATTGAGATAGATTGATCACAATGAATAACAGTACATGCTCTTACCATAAAACAGGCATACCTTGAATAACAGTCCATGCTCTTACCCTAAAACAGGCATTCTCTAAATAACAATAGATGATCTTACCATACAACAGGCATTCCTTCTGTACTCAGTATATTGAGATAGATTGATCACAATGAATAACAGTAAATGCTCTTACCATACAACAGGCATTCCTTCTATACTCAGTATATTGAGACAGATTGATCACAATGAATAGCAATACATGTTCTTACCATACAACAGGCATTCCCTCTGTACTCAATATATTGAGACAGATTGATCACAATGGATAACAGTACATGCTCTTATCATAAACCATGCATTCCCTGAATAACAGTACATGCTCTTACCAAAAAACAGGCTTTTCCTCTGTTCTCAGTATATTTAGACAGATTGGTCACAATGAATAACTGTACATACTCTTACCATAAAACATGCATTCCCTGAATAACTCTACATGCTCTTACCATAAAACAGACATTCCTTCTGTAATCAGTATATTGACACAGATTGATCACAATGAATAACAGTACATGCTCTTACCATAAAACATGCATTCCCGCTGTACTCAGTATATTGAGGCCGATGGATCACAATGATTAACAATACATCATCTTACCATAAAACATGCATTCCTTCTGTACTCAGTATATTGAGACAACCAAATGCGTAATGGACAATTGACAAATATTTCGCCCAATTCACCCAATCAGGCAGATGAGTATTAAAATATCCGGCTGAAATATGTATAAAAGTAAACATAAGTAAGTGTACAATCTTAGTCTTTGACTGTTTAAGTTTCGCCCATTTCACCCCAAAAACATTTTAGCATCAGAAAGACTTAAGTCTGACTGAAACATATATAAACGTAAATAGAAACAGAGGTACAAAAAAAAAATCATAATTTTACAGTTTTGCTATTCAAACGTGTAATTTTAAATTTAATTCAAAAGCATGTATTGGTGGAAGCACTGTAAGAGGCCGTTTTCTGAATGTATCTGTATCGGAAGTAAATAGGGTAATCACGATGCTTGAGAAAGCCGTTGGTCAAGCATTAAAAAACTTATTAGGCACATCTTGAGAAATTAAGTTTTTATATCAAAACGTTTTTATCCTTTGGTATAAAAAACATTTGTTGTTTTCAGTTAAGTCTATTGTAATTGTTACAAATAAATATTAATTTCATGCTACATATTTTTGTTTTTCTACAGTACAAAAATGGCAGAAATTCCATTACCGATAATCGTTGCTTCTAACGACAATTCTTATATTACTTACTATGTATCTTAAAAAAAAGATACTCTTGTTTATTTTTTTGTCTTTAATATTTTATTGACACGTTACAGTCGGAAAGCTGACCCCGGTTTGACCCCATTTCTTAACGCAACAATGGAAGTAATGTGACTACCATATTTCGGCATTTTTTGGGTCATTTTTTCTTCAACTGAAACGACTCTGTTACCTCCAAAAAGTCATATCAAATGAAACCAAAGCATGCTGTACGTTACAAATGCCAATTGTGTATACTTTTTAGAAGTTCTCACATAAAAATTGTTTTGATTAAGCGTACTGAATTAGAATACGAAGCCTTCAAACCAAAGGTCGTCACTCGTCGCGTCAAGTTTTTTCAACACATCATTTGAAATTTCTTTCTTTACTCCTGGGGATACTATGCTGAATTTAAAATATGTGATGAGGCTTTTTATAAACTAGCCCGTGTCAAATTTGTGCCACTTAATACGCTGTAATACGCAAATGTGCCACTTCGATGTGTCGATATTTCTGACGAAGCGGTGCCGATAGTAATTTACGAGTTACGTCCCTTTGTTGACACTTTTCATGAACAAACTTATAGGTACTATCAAGCACCATATGCTGTTATTTACAAATGGATGTTATTAAAATAATTTATTATCTTTTTACTAAATATATTTTGATTTTAAAGACATATGTAAAACAATTAGGTAAACACATTTTATCATTTGTACAACCATTTCAGAACTGAAATAGGGCTTTAAATATTACAGTAAATGTTACTCTGTGCCATAATATATTATTCCAAGAGTAACTTTAATATTTATATTTTGGTAAATATTTTTGCTGTTTTAACCAAATTAAATAAACAATCTTTTTAAGATATAAATTTCTACTACATAAAGACAAGGGGTAGCCAAAATATGCTTGAATACTTGACCTAGACAGGGTTAAAATGATCACAAACAGGAATTCCTTTTCAATACTGATATCTGATTCTACCTTTTTCCTATAGGATATACATTTAAAAGAGATAATAATCAAAGTATTTTTAATGTAAATTCTTCATAATTTGAAATAAAAGGAAATTGGTTTGCAATCATTGTATGATTAAACTAGATTTAACAATAAATTTTGTCTCATTGATTACATGCAAGTTCTACTGAATGGACTCAAATTATAAAAAAGCCTAACGTGAGGGAACCCAAATTGCACCTATTTTGATAGTTTTTCCCCTACGTTAATTTATGATCTAGACAAAATTTAAGTTTCCATTCTGTGGTTATTTTGTAGATGTTTCCTTATTTACTATATAATTCCACCAATTTAATTTTGAATCAATATTGAATCATAGAAAAATTGGTTTGAACCGACCCCCAAACGATCCATGATTCTGTAATGAGGAGTACCCAGATATTGCATCCATGCTTAAATTCACATCCTTAAAAATCGTATAACAGATGATTTGTTTTATTTCTTCAAATATTAGAACAATTTGACATTAGTCCATGCTTACTATTCATGTTTTAAGAAATTGATGCTGGTAACATATTTTATTTGCTCATTTTAAAAAAGATGACTTTTTGTGGACGTTTCCATAGATTTTACTTTTTCCAGTGAATACTTCATCTGTTGTTATATACTTTGAAAGTTTTGTGCATATCTACATATAATTAGCTATGTTGAAAGACGTGCATAATTTCAAATCATAAAATTACAAATTGTTTAGTCTCTAAAACAAACTTGTTAGATTTCCGCTGCTTCTTTGCTAAATAGGTGCAATTTGGGTACTCGGTGCAATTTGGGTACTGTGACGTTAAACCAATGGATTTAATTCGTTTATAATCATGAACTTGTGAATAAATAAGAACGAGAAAGATTCGATTTCATATTTTCCTTCTTCTATTTTAACAAAATAAATAACTATGCATATTAAAAGTACTTCATAGCAGTTTCTGAGTGCTAAGTCAACAATTATGTTTTAGATTACAAGTCATGAGTAAGTCACACTCCATGTAAGAATGAAAATGCTTTGAATAAGAGTGATTAAAATGCAAGTCTGAAAGAGATTAAGTTTTAAGTTCAAAGGACAACCCTTTTGCTGGATTCCTTGATTCATCACCAAAAAATGATATTCCCAACAATGCATGAGTTTTTTTAGTCATCTTAATAGAGTTACATTGATATAATTCTAATATGTTTTACATATCTACAAATACTTGAATCGGATAGGTCCGTTAGAATTTGTCCCTTGGTTTACAATTCGAAACACCATGCTGCACTACTTTCTTAACATTGTGTTCTATTCAAGCGCGATACACATGCAAGAGATCCAGGGATTCCAAGCAAATTGAGATTGGAAAACAAATACATAACAGTAACTGTTATTTCTATTCTAATACATATCAGAAAGAAATAATGCATTAAATCTTGGAAAATATATAAAATTTAGATAAAATAAAATTTTCGAAATTTCATGAATGATCTTGGCGCATTAACGTCATGGCAAAACATGACGTCATAAGAATGACAATTCTCAAGCTGAAGATTAATGTGTTACTTGTTCGCTTCAAATTCGTATAATATCTCATTAAATTGAAGTTTTTGAGGTAGGTATTTTTTATTGTCGATTTTATTGTATTAATCGAACATTTATTGATTTCAGAAAGTCAATATCAGCTGGACAGCTAATCTCATAATGGCGTCGATTTTATAATCATGGTCACGTGATTTTCGTTTAAAAAATTACATTTTTTTTGCAATGTGTTAGACCTGTAATACCTCACATAATTACCTTTAAAAGAACTAAATAAAAAGAAGCATGTGGTAAAATAATTTACATAAAAGGAGGGGTTTTGAACCAGTAAATAAAAACTTTCAGCCAATCAGAAGACGTGTTACATCGAAAATTAAATTATTCCTAAATGAATGTTATATAATTATGTAATAGTTAAACAAAGATAAAGTATCTGAGGTCTAATGATGAACACTGAAATGTAACAACTCCTGGCAACTGGCATAATTATGATGTCAATGACAGTGTTTATCACAAATGAAAATATCAAGGTACTCTATAAAAAGACATCTCATACACCAAACATGTTATGTCTATGTGTATGGCGGCTAACTCCTTAGTTACGACATGTCAATTGTGCATTTGATGATAAGAAGACATTAAACAAAAAATTGTAAATTATAAACTGTGAATTTTTGGATTAAGAACTATAAGGAATAAACACATTTTGTTCTTGAGGTTATTGATGTGTTAACTGGGTTGCTTACTCTCAAAATTACATAAAAGTCCAAAGGATTTTTATCAAGTTTGCGAGGTAATCACCCAAGTTTACACATCAATAACCCCTAGAAAAAATGTGTTTAATCCTATAATAAAAACTTACAAAACAGGAGAGAAAACAACATGTAAGTAGTAACTGTTGTGAGACTTAGTTTCATGTCTGGCATTGCTGTTCCAATTATATGACCAATACTCTGAAAAGTAATGTTGAACAGCAATTAAAAACATTAACACAGTAATAGAAAATCCACTGACAGGATTCAATGGTGGATGCGCTACTTTATCACACATGCCCTTCTAAATGGTACCAAAACTATAAAAATATTGGGGCACTTTCCCCTGAATTATTTTCACACTGAACCATTTTAATAAAGAGTTTCAATCCGTACCTATTGACAGTTTATCTGTTCCATATACATGAGGTTCGTACAATATTTTTACCTATGCATAATCAGAAGACCAAATTATAAACGCATAAAGATAGAGTTAAAGCGGAATTTCGACAGAATTTGGTAAATAAACAGAAATGAATGAAAAGTTCCGATTGTAATAACTTTTTTTATGCAGACTACCTTGTGAAAATGAAATATCAAATCACAAGTGTACAAATGTTAAAATGTCTCGCCTTCTCTACTGACTGAAATTTATGTGAATAGTCTTTCAGACAAAGGTCACATCCATTTCATTTGAACTTTGGTGGATAGTTGTCTCATTGGCAATCATACCACATTTCCTTATTGTTTGTTTTTATTTAAAGGTGTTACTAAATGTATCGCAAACATATTTTATCTATAATCCATAAAAAGGTCACGGTCAGATTAACCCTCAAAGTCGAAAAGGCACGATATAATAAATACGATGATACATTGTACTAGATCTTTACAAAACATATACTAGTGGTTCACGTATAACTTATATTAACGTAGATTCTGTTTGTTATTATATTTTACAGCGGAGCAGTTAACTATGAAAATGAAGTAGACGTCAAGTAAATCCTGTGAAAGACAAACACACTCCTTTTAATCATTTTATAAACAGTATAAACTTACAGTTTATAACTGAAAAATTTATTTAACCTCGAAGACTTAATGTTGATCATAACATCTATAGGTAGAATTATAAACATCAAATATAGTTCATTTTTTTATAAAAATTGAGCAAAACTGACTCATTCACATAAACCTTAACATTGAAACACGAAAATTAATGCAAAATTTTTAAATAAATCAAAGTCAATAGCAGTAAACAAACTTTCATGCTTGTACCTGTGCCACTGTGCAGAAAAGCAAATTCACACCAATAAAAATGGAAAATAAGATTCCGTCTCCAACTGCAGACATCCAGTAAATGATACTATAAAATAGTATTGGTGCAATCAGGATCAATGGAAGATCACTTGTAATTTTAGCAGCATAGTAAGCTGATAATCTGTAGGCTCCTGCTTCTCTTTCCTTTTTTATCACACCTCTTTCTGATGGAACTAAAATGAAATATTCAACATGATCATATTACTTATTAGAAGTAACGTGATTTGAGTTGATGATTTCCACAGAGTAGTATTTAGTATGTAGAGCGTAAACACAGCCAAATATCCAAGTCTATTTCAGTTTTATTTAGTAGAAGACAGCATATGGTATTCAATACTACAAACTAACATATCGTTATTGGTATCAAAATGTATCGGTAGTGTAAATCTTCAGAACATGTTATTTTTATAAGAAAGTCATGACATCTCCCAACTAACTACAAATTTCCTAAATTTTTACAACAAAATTCAGTTAAAATAATTTTAGGTTTTTAGAGGATTCGTTCTATCGTACAAATAACTGATATTTCGCAAAGATAGATCGCAATAATAATTAGATATTGTATGGACTGTGGAATATAAAATAGCAGGTGCTAGCATTTAAATTAATGATGCAGCTTGTAAATCACTGATATTACGAAGTAATGCTTTAACAATGTAAAATATTATGTCAAAATATTTTATTTAATAATTAACAATTCGACAACTTGATATAAGTATATTTTAACTTTTTTTAGCCTTCAATTGGTTTAATCCAAACATCTGACAAATATACAGATATACAGATATCAATAAGATATAAATAATTAAAAAAATAAATAAAACAATCTAATTAAAACCTGACCTGTCATTACCCAACCCTGTCAACCATTGAATCTTAATTGTGTGTCTTAAATCAAAGGTATAAATATATGCTTTTTCAGGTCTGTAGAATTATTTGTTTAATATTTATGCTTAACTTTGACAAATAAAGCGAAGCGAGACAACAATCTTAATTATATGGCAATGAGGCATCAACCCAAAGTATGGCGTCATACATACGCAAACCAAAAAACATAAAAAGAATAACCGAAACATTTAGGTTAATCACCAATACACAAGTGTATATACAAGATGCCATGCTCTGAATCACCATGTGTCTAGAAAGTTATGTTGTGATAAACCGAAACATTTAGGTTAATCACCAATACACAAGTGTATATACAAGATGCCATGCTCTGAATCATCACGTGTCTAGAAAGTTATGTTGTGATAAACCGAAACATTTAGGTTAATCACCAATACACAAGTGTATATACAATATGTCACGCTCTGAATCACCACGTGTCTACAAAGTTATGTTGTGATAAACAATACACAAGTGCATATAAAACATGCCATGCTCTGAATCATCACGTGTCTAGAAAGTTATGTTGTGATAAACCGAAACATTTAGGTTAATCTCAAATACACAAGTGTATACACAAGATGTCATGCTCTGAATCACCACGTGTCTAGAAAGTTATGTTGTGATAAGCAATACACAAGTGTATATATAATATGTCACGCTCTGAATCACCACGTGTCTACAAAGTTATGTTGTGATAAACCAACCGAACCATTTAGGTTAATCGCCAATACACAAGTGTATATACAATATGTCACGCTCTGATCACCACGTGTCTAGAAAGTTATGTTGTGATAAAAAATACAATACTGTATTGTATGTTAAATTAATTTTGGTAAGATGAGTAAATCTCTGGCACAATTATAAGGTGACAATATGCAAGACAAAAATAACATATCATTTGACAATTTGTGTCAAAAATCTAGTGACCTGTTGAAATGTATGCCTATGTTTTATTTTATAAGCATGATGATTCAACAATGCATACTCAAAACCTGTTATACTTTAACGTTGTGCATAAACATTTTATAGACTACTTTTGTATTAAGAACTTGTTCATGTTTAAATAATACTAAAGCTTCATTCACACCAACCTAGTTCCCAAAACATCCAAACTCGTCCTTAGAAATACGTAAAACGGGTTGTGAACTGGCTTGAACGTATAGTTTTAATAGGACAATGTCTTTAATGCGACCCTAGTTAGTTCTTAAATTTTAACCCGGTTTGTAACTAGTTCTACTTCGTTCATTATACGTCGAAATCCGTTCTAACTAGTTCCTAACTCGAGCACCTAATTCACAGACAGTCTATTTCTGACTACCTCTTCGTCTCGTCCCTAGTGCGTTCAGAACGTAATTGTCATAAAGTCCAGGCCTAACGGATAAAAACCAGCACATTTCTGCCAGCTCTCATTCTTTTTCTGCTTTTTATATTTTTTTCAGTTGTGCTGGTAGTTTTATTACTTGTGTTTTTTAAATGATGATACTGTATATGATGAGATGCTTTATGATTGTCTGATATTCTGTTTGATACCTATGATAATATGGTGATATTCGTCTTCAATGTTATAATTATAGGTTTCATAAGGAGTGAGAATTGGATATTGCTTGATATCAAATCGAGTTATTTAATTTCAATATAATAATGAATGAGCGAGTTTATTATTAATATCTAAATTACATAATGAGTTTTGATATCAAGCAATATCAAATTATCACGCGTTATTAAACCTATTTCTCTTATGATGAACACTCTCATTGTGTTAAATAAAAAACTCCGCTAAGCACTGATCTACATATACCAGTATGATACCAGTATGATGTCATATGTCCAGTTCCTGTGTCAAACTTTAACATCAGACATTTTAAAACTTTGTGTACGGTTCAGAATGTAATAAAATTTGACAAAAAGAAAATGTTTATGTGAAAAGTGTGAGTGTTTTGTATATTATTTAAAAAATCGCATATTTCCGTAGCCATGGACGAGATGTACATCGTCTTAACCTTTGAAAGTCATCGATGACCTTAGCCAATGGAAATGTCGTTATATTGTCTAATGATGGTGAATAAACCAATAAAAAGTTTTGTTACACTGCGTTCGGTGTGATACGAGAAATATCTCTTCATGCAAGAACTGGCCACAACCATAAGAGAAGCTGATATACTTACATCCTGTTACTGTGCCAAGCATACAATTGAATCCCCAATGAGCAACACTAAAGAAAATCTATACAACAAAACAAATATTATGTTACTATACCATTATGTATAGAAAAATCAAGCATTGGTTCTAATGGACGCAATTAACGGCAAATATTTAACCCTGCATCATTAGTCTGTATCAGTGTAATAGTTGGTTGCTGTTTGTATCAGTGTAATAGTTGGTTGCTATTTATATCAGTGTAATAGTTGGTTGCAGTTTGTATCAGTGTAATAGTTGGTTGCTATCTGTATCAGCGTAATAGTGTAATAATTGGTTGCTATTTGTATCAGTGTAATAGTTGGTTGCTATTTATAATATTTGTTTTTCGATTATTTGTTTTGTCATTACTTAAGTTTTTGGTTTTTTCGTTTGAATTGTTTTACATTTTGTCATGTCGGGACCCTTTATATCTACAATACAGTATGGGTTTTGCTCATTGTTGATGGCCGTACCGTGACCTATAGCTGCTTTACTCTACGTCATTTGGTCCCTGGTGGATATTTGCTCCAATGAAAATCATACCATATCTCGTTTGTTTTAGTTTAAGATTTTTTCAATTATAATTCTATTGTTTGATCAATTGTAGTCTTGACTTTATTTTTGATAAAACATCATTAACTTTTGTTGCAAGTAATTATTATTTTGAAGGGAACCAATAACTTACATGTACATTTAAGTGTTCATTTAAAGAGAAAACCCCCTTTCTATCATATATAAATTCAAAATACGTCAACGAGAATTAGCCTCGGAAAAAAGAACAAGAACTTACTGTTCCCATTTTATCACGTAATGTTCTGTAAGAATAGTCTGTCTGGAAGTAAAGTATGCCACCAAGCAATGCTAATAGTATAGACTGGATAATTTCATATTTGTGCAGGATTCGACCCTTCGATTGTCTAAATTGTCTCCATGTTAACATACGATACTGAGTCCAAAACGATGTTGGCCAGGCATGATGGGAATGCACTGACGTCTCCTCTTTATCGATTCCAACTACACAAACGTCATCAAATGATTCAGCTGAACCTGTAAGAGAAGGTTTTTCGATCACTTAATTTTGCATCATGAATATAACTGAAGTTTTCTTAACTATTGAGCTGAATTAAAAATTAGCCTCATATATAGGAAAATCACTATATGACAAGAAAATTCAATTGATAGATATTGCTACATGTATATTTAGCATGTATATAGAATCCCATACAACTTTTCAGTGTATATCTACACTAGAAGTCCCCTCAAGTTCCTCGGATGTCAAAATTAGTCTTGTTTTTAACTTAAACTTACCGCCTGTTCTTAATCCAGCTTTTGAAATATCAGCATCAGAATTATTTGTATAGCTGTGATTGACGTGACTATGCTGACCGTTTGATAGAGGGTTCTGTTCACATACATTCTCAAACTTTCTAAAACATGAGTCGCAGTGTATATTCTAAAACGTTTAAGGTTGCCCTATATGTTAATTTCTTAAATTGTAAGTATACTTAATTTCTGCGAAATATTTGCTTTTATATTTTTTTCATGTCGAAATTGTTACTATATTTTTCATCATTATATATTATTATTTTCTTTTAAAGCCAAATTCAATCAAATTCATCCTTTTTTGGATCAGAACGTTGCCATTTTCTAATTTTTTGACGAATCTATTTGTTTCTCAAACAAAGTATAAAACAGGTACATATAGAGGCTAAATACTTATGTTATGCATACAAATACAAAGATGTCTGCTTAGTTTTAACAGATCAATCAAAACCAGATTGAAATCATTGATCTTCGACAAATAAAAGCAAACAATTTATATGTTGTTTTCTAAAACGAAAGCACGTTAACGGTTTGTATTCCAATAGAGGTAACAATATTAATGTAACTTAACAAAAGTATGAAATTCGGCAGGAATTTTACTAAGAACAATAACAACAAACGTAACCAAAAGATTTAACACAAATCCATATTTTTCGTGGTCGTACTTTGGAGAAGGCGTAGATCTGCTCTATGGTATATTGTAACTTATCTCATGACAATAATGACCACACAAGTTCATAGAAAATATTGATCTACTGATTTCTCCTAGTTTTGAAATAAAGTTCATTTTGGTGAGGTTCGTATTGCTCAGTTTTTAGTTTTTTATGTTGTGTTTTGTATAAATTCAATAATGTTTGTCTTTTGATAGTTTTTTTTTTGCTTTTTGCCATGGCATTGTCAGTTTGTTTTCGACTTAAGATTTTAATTATTCCTTTAATATCTTTCGCCTCTCTTTTTGAAGCCTAAAATTACAAAATATTTTCCATTTCTTAGTAAAATCATACTTTTTTTACGTTCTCTGTTGTTGCACATTCCCAAATTTACAACCCTCGTTATCTTAACAAAATAATAATTTACTTATGTCTATCAGCTTCTTCGTGTATTTTCTTGCTCGTCTCATCATCTGTACTCAATAAAGCAACTAAAATGAAACGTACATTTGTCTTTAATGGTTATTTTTTAAAAAAAAAAACAGTCAACATTTAAAGGCAAACAAAAGTATTAACAGAGATACCGAACTCAAGATTAAATTCAAAAAGGGGAAGTCCATAAAAACCGAAAACATCAAACGTAAGACTTTATCAACCAACTGAACGAATGGAAAACAACTGTCATATTCCTGACTTGTTACAATCATTTTCTGAAGATGATATATCAAGCATATTTATATTGATTTAATTACGCATCTTAGATATTTACTACTTGTTTTGAGCTTGTTTATTTCATCTCGAGCATAAACCAAAACAAAACCACATAGAGAACTAATTGAGTCTGTCTCTGAAATATCGTTTCTGTTAATTCTATATTTTAAGTAGAACGTAACATATATGATATTATTGAACAGGAAATCTATGGTAAAAATAAAACAGTTTCCTGAATACAGGGGTCTTTATTGCACTTATTAACAAAAGTTAGGATATAAAATAACCGTTTTATGAAGGTGGTATGTTTTTTATACTTAAGATGTTAAATGCAAATTCAAATTTTGTACTCACGCAGAAAATCAGCTGGGTTGAAATGTATTGCACATGGCATTCCAATTCTCTCAAAGTAATTTAATGCTTCTGACGCTTTTCCGAAATAAGCTACCTAAAAGTATACAAATAAACATAATTATAAAATTCCTACTTACAAAAAGCATTTCCTGAATTTGATTCCAAAATTATAGTTTGATCGATTTAGTAGTATTTGGACACGCAAGAGCACTTGATACTGTGCAGATGGTACATTCACAAACTGATAGTTTAAAAGCAACTGTACAAATAAAAAGAAATTCCGATAAGCGTGCGCAGTACAAATGTTTGAACTAACCCTCATCATGTACTCTCAAGGCTAAAAGCGTCGGTTGCCAAATACAAAAAAAAACATTCAAAAGCATATAGACCGAAAAGAGGCCTTAACAGGACAGTTGAAATTGTCTAAGGTCAAGTTTGCCTTCGTATCTTTGGTCAGAATTTTTTTTATCATATTCTGTACGCCAGTCTTTGCTCCTTTCAATTGGGAATACGGATAAGAAAATGAAACTCAGAAATGGAAAAATACTAAACAGTCCTAAGTCCTACAACCAAGCCCAAGAAATCACATCAAAATGATGTTGGATTGAAAATCAGCTTATCAGATACACCACTTAAACAACACAAAATTTTCAAATAAAATTGTCACTTCAATAAGTTTGTTGTTTGTTGATGAATACCAAATGTTTTGTTTTCTTGATAATATGTGGTAATTGTTGCATGAAGGAATTTATAGTGAATACACAACACTTATCAATATTTATAAATCTGAATATTTAGTTATTTACAAACATAAACATGTAAAACAAATTAAAAATTATAGGAAGACAAATTAAAATTTCAATTTTTTTTAATGTATAGGGAAATATAACATTACAAACTTTCCTTCATCCTTTGTAATATTTTATTTCCATGATTAGTTATAAAAATGTTAAAATAAACAAATTTTCAATTAATGTCATTGTTCCTGTCCTAGAGTGGTAATATCACAAACTAGACATATTGTGTATTATCATCTCTACTGAAAAGAAACTCAGCTTTAAACATCTGTTTGTTAAGTTATATTATCTGTCCCTTTATCAGCATGAGACAACAGATTTACAGCTCTGGGTAACCAATTTATAATTGAGAGAAGATATGAAATTTTCACTCTGAAGGGCTTAGATGCAAGACTGTAAAAACCAAACTCGTTCAACGGGTATCTACACGTCTCAATCTTCAAAATCGCTTATCTGAAAAATACTACAATCGCTAACATTTTTAATAATAAAAATCGTGGTTACCCTTCTATCGATAAGTGTCATGCCCAAAAATGACTTACATATCCCCGTCTTTCCACCAACAATATCGTTAGGTCCACTTTTAATGGTCGCACATTTCCTTAAATTTTGAAACTGATATAAATTGAAAAACTAACAGTATTATCTATTTACTCACATGAAACAAACCGGGATGCGGTATTCAGTACGTAAGTGAAACCGGACGCTATTTATCTAAACGCACGCAAGAACACCTTTATCATTTTAAAAGACCCCATCAATTTAAAAGTATCATTTATCAACACCTTAAGAAGCACAATCATCCTATTAAATATTTAACAGTTCAACTTTTAGAAATAGTAAATAAGCAGCCTGGGGAATCTCATTCAAAGTTTGTACGATCACGGAAAATAATTGAATTAAATTGGATTTAGACAATCTATCCTCTCGGTCTTGATGATAATATCATGGGAATTGGTAATATATCATGAACCGATTCTGTTAACATTTTGGATATAGTTTCTACTGTTCGTAAAAACCGTTCTTATGGGCGTAGAATAAATCGCAATCGGAGAAAATTTCGTACCAATAATACAAATATTTCGGACCTAATTACTATTTCAAAAAACAACGGCAGACATTATCTGTTAACCAAGCTCTGTTCTTCACCTGTTAATAAATTACATCAAATTTTAGAGGATTGCAACACAATTCCATATTGCAGTCCTAAGTATGAAATCGTCCAAATTATAATTGCATATTGCTACTCTAAACGGTTTCCCAAAATTGATCGCCCTTAAGATCATAAAAAACATTTCATTAAAATCAAATGTGTCCAAAAGGTTTTGATTTTGTAAATATTGCCGGTATTTTTAATGATCATTCCGTTAAAGAACAAATTCCTGGCTATTTTGATAATACTGAGCTCCCTCTTATTTGTTATGTCTACAAAAAATCTACTCGCAAATATGTGTTTAATTATAGCGAAGTGTGTAAATATGTTAATATCAGTGACAATACACCTACGTCAGGAAATTGCAGTAATTCCGAATACATTTATTGCCCGTGTTCCCATGCTATAACAGGAGACTTTAACATCGTCCATGAACGAGAGTCGAAATCATTCCTCAGTAAAGGACCTAAGTATCGCCCCCGTCAATTATTAATTGGATGAGTGTCGTAACATCATCCATGACTCACTCCGTACTTACTGTAGGGAATTGATAAAACGAGAAAAAAGCTGACAAAAGTCCTTAGATTCTTTTTTTTTAATTCAGTAATGAACATAGTTGATATTCGTATTAAAAATTTTAAAGAACATTTTACTCCTAACAACAACCATAATAGCCCTATCAAACATAAGCTAAAATAAATCGCAAAGGAATTTGTTTTTGTCCCGGTTGATAAGGCTGCCAATAATATCATTATTGTTTGACGTATATTTTACATTGAAGTTCTGCAAAAAGGAAATCACGAATTCGCCAATATTCCAACTGACTCTATTTTTGGAAATTGACATCTGTAACAAACATAAACTTTTAGCTACCTCTTTACAAGCAGAACCAAATACAATGAAAGTTCCAACTATGTCCTGGCTTCCGAGGCTGCACAAAACACCTTACAAATATAGATTTATTTCGTCTTCAAGTCATTGTTCCACTACTAAACTGTCTATTCTACTTACTAGTACACTTGGTACAATCAAATCCTGGTAATACATTGTTCAAATAAGGCCCTTGAAAATAGTGATATTAATTACTTTTGGAGTGTCAAAAATTCGTTGAAAGTACTTGTTAAATTGCATGCTTTTATTGGTGATTTCGAATTTGTTCAAAGTTTTGATTTTTCTACCCTATATACCACTCTGCCTCATAGTCTCATTAAGAAAAAAATCACACACCTAATCAAATGGGCATTTAAAAAGTCAGAATGCGAATTTATATGTTCAAACTCTTTTAGGTCATTTTTTAGTAACAACAAACCAAAAACTATGTCGATTGGACCTGCTTTGAAACGATAACTGTACTTGAATTTTTACTAGATAACATTTTGTTCGCTATGGAGATTCCGTATATCTTCAAGTTATAGAAATTCCAATGGAGACTAAAGGTGCACCACTTATTGCGGACCTGTTTCTGTATTGTTATGAGATACAATTTATGACTAAAATCAGCAAAGACCCATCGAAACAACATCTGATACAAAAATTTAATAACACTTTTAGATATTTGGATTATATATTGGCTCTCAATAATGACGACTTCAGTATGTCAACACAAGAGATTTATCCTGCTGAACTGACTTTAAATAAAGCTAATATTAGCAATGACCACTGCCCTTTCCTGGATCTTGATATCTATATCTTTAACGGGAAGCTTATTACCAAAACTTACGATGAAAGAGATGAATTTTCATTTTCTATTGTTAATTATCCATTTTTAGATGGTGACGTTCCCTTTTCACCATCTTATGGTGTTTATATATCTAAACTTTAACGAAAGAAATCTCTATGTTACTGAAAAATTATTACACCAGGGTTTTCGAAACCACAAACTAGTCAAAACATTTACTAAATTTTATCATCGGTACAAGGACATCATCCGTAAATATAAATTAACATGCAGACATCTTATACGTTCAGGTATTTCACATCCAATCTTTTATGGTAATGTTCTATACAAAGCAAACAAATGTCGTCATTCACCTCAAAAGCTAACCAAACCTTTAAACGGACTTATTCAGAAGGGATATAGTTACGAGACTGTTGTCAGGTCATTAAAGATGGCATATTTTGGAATTAATATTGATTCACTCATAGGGTCTTTGCATCGGAAATAAACACATTTATTCTAAAACCAGTTGTTGGCATGATACGGGTTATGTTCTCCTCATATATTTTATGATGGTATGATATTAAACCCCTAACGGGAGGGATTGTGCTTGATTTTCATATGATGAAGACATAATCTTTCAATCAGTTTAATGGAGGTCTGGAGCTGGCATGTCAGTTACTGCTAGTAGTCCTTTGTTAATTTATGTATCATTGTCATTTTGATTAGTTTCTTCTGTTACCTATTCTGACATCGGACTCGGACTTCTTTTAAACTGAGTTTTACTGTGCATATTGCTGTGTGTTTGTTTATTCTTCATTGGCTAGAGGTATAGGGGGAGGGTTGAGATCTCACAAAACATGTTTAACCTTGCTGCCTGTCCCAAGTCAAGAGCCTCTGGTCTTTGTTAGTCTTGTATGTTTTTTTAATTTTAGTTCATTTATATGTTTCGGAGTTTAGTGTGACGTCCATTTTCATTGAACCAATACACATATTTGTTTATGGGACAGCTAAAGCCCGCCTTCGATTGCGGGATTTTCTCGCTGTGTTGAAGACCCATTGGTGGCCTTGTGCTGTTTTCTGCTCATTGGTCGGTTTGTTGTCTCTCTGACACATTCCCGATTTCCATTCTCTATTATAACAATTGCTGGCGGTCAGCTAATAATGTTACTTCCAACAATAAAAAATTCCATAAAAATTTGCACTTACAAAAATACAGCCGGATGTATAAAAATGACGTCAATATTTTGGTAATATAATAAATACTGCATGCTTACACAAGCGTAATATACAAATTGCGGTTGATTTTCTATTACCCGCTATTTGACATTATAAGAACAATCAATAATTTTCATTATTCCCAAAACATTCCGTATATTTTCCAAATATGTATGAGAAATGTCCTTCCTGTGACACATTCCTTCAAATTCTATACCACATGATATCATGATACACTTGCAATCAAAACTTACTTTACCGTCCATTAGCAATTGTAACGTAGAAAACATACGATACTTTTGCAATCAAAACTTACTAGTAACTTAGAAAAACATATGATACACTTGCAATCAAAACTTAATTTTCCGTCCATCAATAATAGTAACTTAGAAAACATATGATATATTTGCAATAAAAAAATTACTTTTCCGTCTATCCACAATAGTAATTTAGAAAACATATGATACACTTGCAATAAAAACTTACTTTTCCGTCCATCCACTAAAGTAACTTAGAAAACATATGATAGATACACTTGCAACAAAAACTTAATTTTCCGTCCATCCACAATAGTAACTAGGAAAACATATGATACACTTGCAACAAAAACTTAATTTTCCGTCCATCAACAACAGTAACTTAGAAAACATATGATACACTTGCAACAAAAACTTACTTTTCCGTCCATCAACAACAGTAACTTATAGGTTGCACTTTGTAAATACAGCTGTTTCTCAAGCCACGCCTCTTTTGGGGAGATATGTAATATTCATAGATATTTTGTTTTGTTTACGTACTAGTTCCCAGATATGATCTCTTTGTTTCATCTCATGGAGACATAACCTGGGAATGTTACCAGTATAAAAACACGTAGTAGCGGTAAAAACTGAAATCTGAGGAAGACCCAAAGTGAAGGTAGGGGTGGTACAGAATTTTAGTATAAGTCTAAACTCTTAGAAGTTCGGGGCATATAAATGTTGAAAATATGCCGCACAGCCCTATGTTTTGACCTTTGAATAAAAAAAGTTGTGCATATCAACTTTCCGTTCTTGGATATAATTTTTTACGAAACTTCATAGTAAAAGTGGCGGAGTTTTAGCCGTAAAGGGAGTTCTTATGGGAAATTGCATTGTCTATATTTACAGAAGTGCAACCTATATTGGGTGAAAAAAGAGAACACATAGAATTTCACCAAATCTGGTTTATCTCAGAGATTTAAATGAAATTAACTCAAATACAAAGTTTAATAAATATTTTATGAAAATTGAGAAAATCCTGGGCCTTAATTATGATGACTCAGCATAAATTCAGTTTACAGTATGCATAGTTTACTTAAAGCCATGAATGCAAAATTAATTCATAATATATGCATATTTGTAATTTAAATTGTTTAGAAGTGCTTATATTTACTCTTCGCGGATATTGAAACTCATAGATTCTTGATAATTATTGTTGTTGGGGTGTTTTTGTCCTGTTGATAACCCAAAAGTAAGCCGTAACACCTGAATTATCTTTTTTGTGACAGAGGCAAAAAAAAAAATACAAGCTAGAAATACAAAAGTACCTCAATAAAAATAACAATAGTGTGTTCTATCCTAGATATGTACTTAATATTCCATATTCACAGAAACAGCAGAATAATTTTGCAAATTTGAGGCCCCAGTGGCAAAAAACAGAGAAAAATGCCTACCCCCTGGGTCATAAAACAGATAATTTAACCTGTAAATGCTATGATTTCATTATTTTAAAGGTCTTTTGTATAGAAAACAATGATTGTGCTTAGAAGTTATGCAAAAAACAGATATTGACAGTCAGTTCTATAAAACCTTTAGTGAATTCATACATCAGACTGGTAACTTCATACATACAACTTTTGCAAATATGGCTTTGTTTAAACATTTCTAGTTCATATATTAGCTAAATTATGTTAGATATATGGTTAGAGATGATATTGTTGTGACAAGATTTCCAAACTGACCATTTGAGGCAGAAATTGCGAACTATTATTGACAAATAGGCATACAGTAAGAAGTGAACTGGAGACAGAGGCAGGATTGGATACTTTATATAATCTTGAATGTTGGAAGGATTAACTTCTAAACTTTACATTCATAGAATTCTGAAATGCTTTCAATTTGTTATCAGAATAGTTGCAAACAGGTTCTAGTCATTTTATGTCAGTAAACATGCACAATGGGTAAGCTGACAATAATTAAAGTCTTGTTTTCAAATTCTTTAAAAATTGAAACAGGGGTGGGGGTATAAAATGTACTGTAAAAGAAAAGTTAAAGTATATGCAATGATTTCTTTAAGGCTATAATATTGATAAATAAGTATTGTTGTGAGAAAAGTGTTTTTCAAGAGTTTTCTATTTGAATAAATGTTAGTATAGGTTGCACTTTGTAAATACAGCTGTTTCTCAAGCCACGCCTCTTTTGGGGAGATATATAATATACATAGATATTTTGTTTTGTGTACGTACTGGTTCACAGATATGATCTCTACGTTTCATCTCATAGAGACATAACCTGGGAATGTTACCAGTATAAAAACACGTGGTAGCGGTGAAAATTTAAATCTGAGGAAGACCCAAAGTGAAGGTAGGGGTAGTACAGAATTTGAGTATAAGTTTAAACTCTAAGAAGTTCGGGGCATATAAATGTTGAATATGTGCCACACAGCCCTTTGTTTTGACCTTTGAATAAAAAAGTAGTGCATGTCAACTTTCCGTTCTAGGATATAATTGTTTACGAAACTTCATAGTAAAAGTGGCAGAGTTTTAGACGTAAAGGGAGTTCTTATGGGAAATTGCATTGTCTATATTTACAGAAGTGCAACCTAGAAAACATATGATACACTTGCAAGCAAAACTTAATTTTCCGTCCATAAAAATAGTAACCTAGAAAACATATGATACACTTGCAATCAAAACTTAATTTTCCGTCTATATAAATAGTAACATAGAAAACATATGATACACTTTCAACAAAAACTAACTTTTCCGTCCATCAACAACAGTAACGTAGAAAACATATGATACACTTGCAATAAAAACTTACTTTTCCGTCCATCAACAATAGTAACTTAGAAAACATATGATACACTTGACTAGATGGTTGATGTATTGTAGCTATTATAGTTTTGTTGTACTGGGTGACATAGTTCTTTAGCTGGATCATCAGTTTATGTGCTGTAGTAGAGTCCAGTCCGGATGTAGGCTCCTGTAAATTGAGAAAAGATTGTACAGAATCAACTTGTATTAAGGGATTAAACACATGTTTTCTATACAGGTCGTTGAATGTAAACTGGGCCGATAAACTCACTTTTAGTCTGTCCTAGTTGTCTTTCGATTGTAATTTTTAGAATACATCATGCGTAGATTTTTCTGACGAATTGTTTTACAGTTTGTAATGCCGGGGCCTTTCGTAGATTTCTTCATGGTATGGTTTTTGCTCATTGTTTACGTCCCAGAGTTGTAGACAATCTCGTCTTTTGGTCTCTGGTAAATAATAATTTCATTGGCGATCATGCCACACCTCCTTATTGATATGATAAGTATTTTATTGAGATTAACCATCGAATTATCCAAATTTTTATTTCAATATCTTGAGCAAAAAGAGTTGAATTATTGCGAATGTGGGGTTTATATAGTCTTCTTACATCAATCAGCATAATATCAGGATCTGTCAGAAATTCACATGCTATATTTGCTCTCTTCTTTTCACCACCGGACAATCCACGGACAAAAAAGTCACCGATAACTGTAACGATAGACATTGTATATAAAATCTTATATTATTATTAAATGGTGTAATATCATTCAATGGTGCTATACTTTGAACATCGGGGGTTCACATGTTAAAAAATATGATCATCCCTGGAATCCTCCCGTCCGGCTGTAATATTCTTTTCACAACAATCGTCTTTCATTGTACGGGATGAATGAATACACCCCCACATCCGGTCAAACTGGGTACTTTAAATCCACATCCGGTTTAACGTTTTTGCCACGCTTTTCATCAATAATACTGGACAATACGAGAGACAACATCAATCACATGCAAACAACTTTATGATGTTTCTCAAGGGGGACTGCTGCAAGGCAAAATGTATGCCCTACCCAATATGTCCTCATTTCCTAGTCGCATTCAAAATTTCCCGCCATTCATCCCGTTCGACCTATCTAGCAGAACATTCCTATAATATTAAATGTTAGTTTGTTTTTGTTATCAATGTGCATGACATAATTGTCACCGGTGGTTAAACAATTAACCACCAATCAATCATGTAATAGAACGTTCGGTACGTGTGAACGCATAAGGTAGCTCGCTCTAAGTTTACACGATGATATAAAAGATAGTATTAATCACGATAAAAAAAAATGTCATGTATTCTTATCTCTTTGAAATAATCTTTAGTCAATACTAATTTCTTATGGCCAGTAATGTTTATCAGTATATAAAGTTACTTAATTATGTAGTTATTCTTTTTGAATTTGAGACGTTATTTTTGTAAAGGAAGTTTGTTTTCCTTTTGTTGAAAACGTTTGAAATTGCAGTTAATGAACAATGTCTTGTGTTTTAATGTTATTGGGTTGCTTTCTCATTGACAGCTACATGTACAATGCTAGGAATTTGTCTTATTCTTATTGATTTGTATAACAGTTGATAAGCGTTTACATTTGTTGTATATCAAGGCATCTTTAATTCATTTCCTATTATCTTGTAATTCACAATACATTTAATGTGTCAGGACTTATTTACACCCTAAACGTGTTAGGTTACATTTTGTTATTTGTCCACTACATGTACTTATATTATACTGGAGTGAACTATCCCGGCTAATCCTGCATTATGATAGGTTACCTTGACAGAGTACATGAGCCCATGTAGTCTGTAAACAAAGATCAGAAGATCTGATTGGTAATTTATGTTGAAATCGGGTCACTCCAGTTTAATAATATAGCCATATTTGGTCTTCACATGGTGATATGGGCTCATATTCCCTGTCAGTGCCCTATCTCTACTTTGCCTAGCGGCCCAGGAGATATAAATCATTGATAGGGAATATAAGCTTATATCCCCTTTTAAGATCCCGAATAACATATAATGATCAATGTATGGTTATTTAACATGTTCAATATTTCTAAGTCTTCTTTGTAATCAATTATCCTTAATATGTTTTATTAATAGGCTTACAAATGCTCTAAGTTAACTCGAATCAATGCGTTATCTAATTTCTCTTTACAAAATGACCATTACCTAACTACCTTTGGTGTTAGCAACGTTATTCGATATTTGAAAGGTTATTATTTGCAAGTTCGCGGTTCTGTTTGGATATGCCAACGAGAGAGAACTTGGTTATTTGGCTTGAATTTTTAGGTTTATGCCACTGTTACGTTTTATATTATTGGACTTGATTAAATAATTTGTTTGTGTTTATTGTATTGAACAACTAACTGTTTGTGAATGAAACGTGACCTTGAATTCCATTTATGAAATCAAAACCCAATATTTCATATATTTGTACCGTACAATCTAGTAAATTGTTTATCTGGTCGTGTGTTTTATTACACTGACAGCATTACTACGTGAATCAAACGATAGTTTACAGCATGTGCATAATCCCCACCGACGGGCTAGGATCTCTCTCAAAGTCATCCTGGTAATTTTATAGGAAAACCTGAGAATTTATTACTATTACCTGTGACATATATCTTTGGCAATATGAATGTGATAACTTTTGTTGTTGTCAAAAAATATCACGTACAGGATTTGACCTACATTACACATGTTATTTCACTTTATTTTAAAAAGAAAGAAAGAACATAAAACATGCAAACTATTTTTGTAACAGTCAGGTGCATCTACAACTATAAATCTAATTAGTACAGTCTGTTGCACATTACTTGTCATGTTGTCATACCTTTTAATTATTTATTTGTTTCACTATGTATTGAAATTAATCTATGCAACTTTTATATCTTTTTGTCAGTTTTTCCTTGTTTTTTAAGGGTCTTTTTTTTTATCAGAAATACAATTTTTACAGTTACTCAGATAACTCCGGGGTTATTAGTTCTTTTAATTTAGGTTCCCGTACTTTATGGTTTTGTTTTAAAGATTCAAAATTTGTTATTCCTTTTGACCTTCAATCTTTCATAACACGTCTTTCGGTATCAATAAAGTACAGGCCAGGTGAATTACAAATGAACCCTAGAATTCTGGTCTGTCATTTTACATTGCGTACCCTTCATTATATTTGTTTACAATATTCACCTGTATGTAGACATTTCTTCAGATCCAAAGCCTGTACTATATCATCTATCCTGGTTTGTTTGTCCTTCAACGACACTGACTCAGCAATACGAATCATTGCAGTGAACTAACAATATTAAAGAAGATTGATAAATAAACTGTTGACACAGAGATATGTCTCGCCTTTTCGTTATGTTGATAGTAAAATGAAAATGTTGAAATTTAAATAGCAATACTTTAACATGTAAGTTATGCAAAATTTTCATGGTCAATGAATGAATCAAGGCAAAACATCTCCATGGAAATGAGATGCGCCAATACTAATATATATGCATAACAAATATCAGTGACCTACCACTATTTGTTCCCCATAAACTGACCAAATCACAAACTTATACATGTTAACTTAGCAAATGTTTCAAAGTCAATAAACCATGACTGAAGGGGTGGGGTCAAAAAATCTCCATGGAAATGATATGTGCCAGGGCTAATACATATGCATACCAAATATCATTGACCTACCACTAGTAGTTCCCCATAAACTGACCTAATCACAAACTAATACATTGTTGCCTACGCCGACGCCGGAAACAGCATACATTTGTACCTATGTCTCACTGTTTTCCTTTGTCAAGGTGAGACAAATATATATATATATACCATATTTTCCGCAAGTTTATTGTTTTCTGTTTGGTAATAAATTAATAATAAGATCTATTTTGTTACATCGTGTGATCCGTTTATTTGGCAATCGCCAATGGCAGTCAACAGGGTTTAAGAACATCAGTTGTTCGACCTGCTAGTCAAATGCGTTTTGTTAAAATATACTTTTTCACTCATTTGGTCTTTTGGAAAATGTTGTTTGTGCTGTATTTAGACCCCTCTACCAAGAAATTTGTTTTGCATGCACACGTATAAGAAATTGCGGTTTTTATCCAACGCAATCATAGGTTTGAACGTTGTTTTCAATTTAGACTTGTTTATATTTTTTCGTTTGGGCTTGTATTATATTTGCCTTCGGGTTTATATGATCCGTTCATCCTATTTTGACTCTTTCAAAATTCAAGAGTCTATCCTAAATTGAGGAAAATTATGGCCTTCCAAATACCGTTTCGATTCCTTGCATCACTGAAGAGTCATTAATTGTCGAAATCCGGATATGGTGTACTAACTTTTGCACCTCATGTTTGCGGTATACCATCTTTTCCGCAAGTTTATTGTTTTCTGTTTGGTAATAAATTAATAATAAGATCTATTTTGTTACATCTTGTGATCCGTTTATTTGGCAATCGCCAATGGCAGTCAGCAGGGCTTAAGAACATCAGTTGTTCGACCTGCTAGTCAAATGCATTTTGTTAAAATATACCTTTTCACTCATTTGGTCATTTGGAAAATATTGTTTGTGCTGTATTTAGACCCCTCTACCAAGAAATTTGTTTTGCATGCACACGTATAAGAAATTGCGGTTTTTATCCAACGCAATCATAGGTTTGAACGTTGTTTTCAATTTAGACTTGTTTATATTTTTTCGTTTGGGCTTGTATTATATTTGCCTTCGGGTTTATATGATCCGTTCATCCTATTTTGACTCTTTCAAAATTTAAGAGTCTATCCTAAATTGAGGAAAATTATGGCCTTCCAAATACCGTTTCGATCCCTTACATCACTGAAGAGACATTAATTGTCGAAATCCGGATATGGTGTACAAATTTTTGCACCTCATGTTTGCGGTATACCATATTTTCCGCAAGTTTATTGTTTTCTGTGTGGTAATAAATTAATAATAAGATCTATTTTGTTACATCTTGTGATCCGTTTATTTGGCAATCGTCAATGGCAGTCAGCAGGGTTTAAGAACATCAGTTTTTCTACCTGCTTGTCAAATGCGTTTTGTTAAAATATACTTTTTCACTCATTTGGTCTTTTGGAAAATGTTGTTTGTGCTGTATTTAGACCCCTCTACCAAGAAATTTGTTTTTGCATGAACACGAATAAAATATGCGGTTTTTATCCAACGCAATCATAGGTTTGAACGTTGTTTTCAATTTAGACTTGTATATATATACATGTATATAAATAGTGTGCGTATCATAAACGTTTTCGTAATTTCAGTAACTGCGAGCAATATTTGACAGGTACGGTATTGTTTATTGTTTTGCTACCTCTTGTGGTTTTGTGATATATTTTTAGTGGTATTCTAGGGTTCTTTTTCTGTAATAAATGTTGTATGACAATCTTTTCTGTAATCAATATTGTATGACGTTCTTTTCTGTAATTAATGTTGTATGACGTTCTTTTCTGTAAGTAATGTTGTATTACGTTCTTTTCTGTAATTAATGTTGTATAACGCTCTTTTCTGTAGTTAATATTGTATGACGCTCTTTTCTGTAATTAGTGTTGTATGACGTTCTTTTCTGTATTTAATGTTGTGTGACGTTCTTTTCTGTAATAAGTGTTGTAAGACTTTCTTTTCTGTATCTTTGAATATTCCACCGATCGATATTGACGATTTATACTTCGTACAAACATGTTTGATGGTATCATGGTTTTGCTCATTATTGAGGGTCATTCGGTAACATGAAGTTTGTTTTAAATCATCGTCCATTTGACACTAGTGAAATAGAAGTCTCATTGGCAATCATCTCCTTCCTTTTATATTAACCCGATACCTGTCTTCATGAGCCTCTTCAGTGGTTGTCTCATAGGCAATCATCTCGGAGACTCCTTCCTTTTATATTAACCCCACTACCTGTCTTAAAGAGCCTCGTCAGTGGTTGTCTCATAGGCAATAATCTCCTCGGATCCCTTTTATATTAATCTCACTACCTGTCTTCAGGAGCCTCGTCATTGGTTGTCTCATAGGCAATCATCTCCTCCCTTTTATATTAACCCCACTACCTGTCTTCAGGAGCCTCGTCATTGGTTGTCTCATAGGGAATCATCTCCTCCCTTTGATATTAACCCCACTACCTGTCTTGAGGATCAATGGTTGCCTTGAGTCTGGTGCTAATGGCAAATCTTTGACTTGGAACGATTTGGAGCATTGAATAGGCACTAGTCTTGTCTGGTTCGATATGTTGCTGGTTATTTATATAGACCAAACATTTCCTTTTACTCATATCAAGTATCTTAAAAGTGTAACGTACGATACAAAGTAAGCAGTATCCTTCCTTAACTGATGCAAATATAGATACTTTATCGAACTTATTCTAGTTACATGAAATAGCAGTACTTGCAATAATAAGATGTATTAAGTATGATATAGTATTATCATCAATTTGACAATATGCTAAAAGAAGAAAAGAAAACGCCAAAAACAAACCAAAGTCCGAAAAACACTGACTAGTTATCAGAAAACAAGATTGAAAAGCACGAACTCAACAAGTAACCACAGGTGAACCCAGGTGTTCTAGAAGAAAGTTCTGATCCACAATCCTTTTGAAAATATGTGAAAATAAAAAAGTATGAAATCCAAAGCGCTTTTCCCAATATCCCTCGATCAGTGAAGTTTCGGAATACCAGTGGATCCTATAAGAGTTAGGGAATTTGGTTTCCACCAATGAGATGTAAATCTCCCCCTCCCCTTTCCTCTGACTTACATATAATGTTTCATATAGAGTTAAACTAGGCATGAACACATCGTCTTGTAACACGTAGCCAAGTCGACGTCTCAGATGTTTATTGAAATATTGTCCATTCATAGTTATCTCCCCTGATGTTGACTGAACTCTTCCAGCAATAGCGTTCAGAAGCGTCGTTTTCCCAGAACCTAAATAAAAACAATTTGAGTTGGATTTTTCTTTATTACTGGTACTTCTATACAATACCTGTCACAGATTTTTTTTTATATACAATATTGTATTTGTATTTGATTCATATTTGTTTTTCGCTGATATTCTCTCCAGTGATTACACAATAAACAATAAACAAAAAGAAAAAAACAGTATAAATAAAAAAAAAAAAGAAAAAAAAACATAATTCATATCGTTATTTTTCAACAAAACTGAAATTCCCACCCGTAATATTCTGATCAAACGTTTTTGGAAATATTTTGATTAAACATGCCTTTAGTCTAAAATGTCTGTAGGTATCTTTTCCACCGAGATTTTTGTTGATGAACTGATTATGTATTTTCGAAATATGGTATCAAATGGAGTATTGGTCAAAATATTATGCACGATTGATTAATCGAAATTTTACCTGTAGGGCCCATAATGGCCAGAAGGTCTCCACTTTGCGCCCCTGTGTTAACTCCATAAAGAATGTGCTTTGTCTTCACAGAAACAACAAGGTTCCGAACAACTAATTGTGATGAGGATGATTTCGTCTTCATTTCTGTAACAATCAAATAGCAAAGAGGAACGTTCAATAAAGTCACTTCTTGTTTCCCTGAAATCAATAATCAAAATATGTTATGGATCTATCTAGATTTTACCTTTAATCTTCCTGCAGTCAACGAAAAGCTGCTCAAAACTGTCTTGTTTTGACATCTACCCATCGAAAACTCAATTGCAAGCAACATCCGAGTCCGAGATATTTTGCAACAATGTATTATGTTAAACTGTTGCATAAAAAAACTACATATCTACAATTCTACCCAGAACTACATATCAACTATGACGTAAATGGCGTGAGTGACGTCAACAATGTCATTCTGAACTGTAGTAACCAACCTTTACCCTTTACCATCGTATTCATTTAAAGAATTTAAATTTTTCTAACAATTTCTTCAACATAAAATTTATCATATCTACAATTCTCAATTTATACCCAGCACGAAATTCTGCGTGTACACGAATATCAATCTTTTATTTGCGATAAACAAACAAACAAACAAAAAATAAAAGTCTTACAAACAAATTGAAACAGATTTATGAACACTGTCCAGTTATTTGCATGGTATAATATTGTTTTTTTCTTCATAATGACGTTGAACCATTGCAGTGCATGCATATCTGTAGGACTCACATCCATGGCGGGTACCAGAAATATGGCAGATTCCCAATCATTGGTAAACATGACATCATGACATCCCAAATCTATGGTGGGTTCCAGATATATTGCAGATTCCCAATCATTGGTAAACATGACATCATCACATCCCAAATCTATGACAGATTTTTTGAAAATCCAAATCTACGGCAAATTTTCTAGTGACCTAATATATGACGGATTTTCTCGTTTCGAAATCAATGGTAAGATATGAATGCGGCACCCGTCGCGATGTCCAAAGGTAACGGAAAAGCCGGTAGTAAGTAAAAGTCAGTATTAGAAAAACTGATTAGAAGAAAGACAACGGGAGCATATTCATAACCATTTGTGAAATGGACATTCCATATTGGTCAACCAAATCGTGATGGCGACCATGATATTTCCTTAGTGTGGAAGTGATACATTGTATACACTGAAACAAACTTTAGAATTGAAATGATGTGCCCCAGGAGAATTAGCATTACCAACTATGTGCCCCAGGAGAATAAGCATTACCTACTCTGTGTAAGGTACCTGTTTAACCCAGTCATTTAACCAACTAGTCAAAATGAAAGTCTATTAACAAAACAAAATGCAGTTTGAATAAAAAGGATTAAACAATTTGCCTTTTTACGTGTTTATTTGGGCGTAAATAAACTTTTTTAACTGATTTATGTCAAAGTGGTATCCTGTGATTTCATCCCTCACTTTATATACTTTGCCTGCCATATATACTATAATATTAACTATAGTTTCTTTCCTAAAATTTTCGCTTCTAAAACAAAAACACCGCTTAATTCATCAGATTGATACAAAGCAGAAAATGCACCCACCTTACACACGGCTGTATTATATATCATTCGAAAGCTAATTTTCTGTACTTTCTGTTTTGTCCGGTCGTAAAAAAATCGTACGGTGCATTTTCTGTTAAATCAAGGTCAAAGGTCATGAAAAAACATTCCAATTTTTGCGATTACTAAACAAAAAGCTATTTTCTAATTCTTGTACCATAAAATTTTTCAAAAGATCATATGCACTCTTTATAACATAATACATTATTTCCAAATCAAACAAAAAATAAGATGTTATATGCGCAATATTTCCCGAAAATTGAAATTCATCACAAATCCTAAAAAATGTAAAATTGTTCCAAAAGCAAAATATATCTTGGGGGATCGATATTTGTATGCTAAAAAAATAGATAAATAATATGTTTTAGGTCAAAGAATATTTGTTTTGTAATTTTAAGATGCAATTATTAATTATTGTTCATAGAACAGCCTTCTATTGAAGTGTTTGCAGTTGCCCAAAAATCTGCCATCTGCAAATAGCGATCATTTTGTTATTCTATGTTAAGATAGCACATCGCTAATTGTCAATATCAGGGAGGAGAATGATTTTCCATAATAAAAGAAGGGGTATTTAAAGTTCGAAAAGAATATATACGAGCTAATTGAGGTAAAAATATGTTTTTTACGAAGTCAAACTTGTTTACTTTTTTTTAATCATGTTTAAATGCAAACATGACTTTGCGACTAAATCGTAGGCAACATTGAAATAAGTAACCTTGTTTAGAAACACTTGGTTGTCTAAAGCGGGATGTAAACGAACTACATATAATGCTGCTGCTTCTTATTTAGTTTAAAATGGTGTGAGACATATTAAATGTGTTTAGAAGTTTAATCTCTTTAATTATTTGAATAAAAGATGCTTCTATATATCTTTATTCTCACAAACCAAATTTCAAAGGTATAGAGATAGGATTGAGTATTTTCAACATAAGCTTTTAAAATACCAATGCAGGTCATTGTGTATGTAAAACACTATAAGCAGTTGTGAAATAAAAAAATGAAAAAGTTGAATACCTTCCTGACCTCATAAAATCATTCGCTGTTTTAGGCAGTGATCGTTTTCATGCTGTGCTGTGTTTTGTGGACTGTTGTTCGTCTCTTGGACTTTAATTTTATTTTGTTCATGGTTTTAATTAAGTTTATTTGATTCATGGTTTGAGATGTTGATTGTCCCTTTGGTATTATTTCACTTTAAAGATATTAACATGCAGTAATGAAAATCGGCAAAAAAATCGCCTCAAAGTAATGTGAAGAAGATTGACGCAATAAGACAAATATCCGCGAAAATAACTTAATTTGCTCACGGTGATATATAAATAGAGCCAAATCGTTATCATGATACATTTAACTACAATGATCTACAATTTTTAAAACTTTTACTACTTGAAGAGTGACGAAATATGTCAAAGGGACATCAAACTCATAATTGAAAACGAACTGACAAAGCCGGGCAAAATACGAACAAGACAAGCAACAGTATACAAAACACAACATATAAAACTACATATTGAGTAATACAAACCCCCCAAAAATATTTGGGGTGAACTCAGGGGCTCCAAAAGGGTGAGCAGATTATGTTCCACATGTGACACCTGTCTTGTGGCTCGTGTAATTCCTACCTCGGTGCCAAGCCTTATTCGGTAGGTGACATTCAAGGCAAAAATGACGGTATTTTGGTTACGTCGATTGGAACTTATCAGTCGTCATCTGGCAAAACAGATATTTCATAATTGTCAACCAACTCGAAGTGGCGTCATAAAATTTTCAAAGGGATGATTCCAACCATGTTCAAACCACCATTTTTCTTCAAATGTCCTGTACCAAGTCAGGCTTAAGGCAGTTGGTATCCAATAATCTGTTTCTTTGTATGTTAATGTTTGTTTTTGTAGCAGTTCAGTGTTTCTGTTATTCCGTTGTGTTCCTCTTATAGTTGATGCGTTTCCCACGGTTTTGGTTTGTGACCCGGATTTGTTTCAGTTACTAGTAAATCGATTGATGACTATTGAATAGCGGTATACTATAGTTGCCTTTATTTAATATCTTCATTGTGAGCAGTTACACACTATCACGACAATCGTGAAAGTAAATGCAAGCTCTGGAATAGTGTATTAACTTGGAGATATATACTCTACAAGAAGATGCCGCGAAATCGCGTTACAATTAGGCAAGTATTTAAATAAAGAGTTTTATTTAATTTTGCGGGCAGTACGTCGACTGAGCATGCAAAGACAAATTTAGGAAATGCAAAATCCCACATTTATACGTCATATCATAAATATTCCGACTTGTTATTGTTTCAGAGGAGTTGAGGCTCAATGAAATCGGTCTCCTCCTTTAATAGTATAGATATGCAGGTGTTGCTATAATGTTGCTACATAGAAATGAAAAGTTTATAATTGGTTAGTAAGGAGTGTTTTTATGGGTTGATTTATGCTCATCTCTTTTGTCGTAAAACTTGTTCTCAACCAACCCTCATCGTCGATTTCAAGATAAGTGGTAGAGTAAACTATATCTGTTGAGTCTTTTTTTTTTTAATTTCAATGGAAAATACGAGTCCAACATTGTGACAAATTTGGCACTATTCAGCGAGATGACATCATCTATATAGTGGAAAGTGAAGTTTCAAGATAATGGTAGCTTCTTTTCAGTCGTCATCAGAAGCTCTTGCATAAAGTCATCCTCGTATGAAAAATGAACTAGTCATTCAAGCTATTCAGAAAGTCTAGTTGTAACTAGAATCGTTGCGTATTAATGGATTTTTTTCTTCAAAATTATTCTTATTTGATGAATTAATGCATTTAAACAATGAACAACGCAATTTAAGCAATCAAGAAGTCAAGTTTTATAATGTGTTACTGGTTTTTAAATTCTTTTAAATTTCAATTTTCATCAATTTATTTTTTATTTATTTTTGTCTAAATTTTCAATTTATTTTTATGGTTCACATTAAATAAATAAAACTTAAGGTCTTTTCACTACATCAATATTTATAATGAAGCTACAAATCAAACAATTAGAAAAGTCAAAATATGTTTACTTCAGTCTGGTAGTTACAATGCAGATTGCAATCTCTTAGTTTCGCCCCCTTTATTTCAAGCAATAGTATGATTCAGACACATATTTTTTTACTTTAAATTTTTCAGATTCTTAAGAATTTGTTTATTAAATCTTATATTGACCACATACAATGTTTAAATAGGAAGAAATGCTTAAAAGCTGTTTTTTTTCGCAGATGGTGGTATTTTGGGCAACTGCATGAGTTGTTGTGATTTGCTATTTGATTAGAAGTAAGCATAATTTTAGGAAATTTATGACGTCAAAAACTTCTTTGATAGTTATTACAAGATTTTACTTAGTTTTAAGTGATAAGCAGTTGCATCAGAAAGAAAAATTTGGGTTTTCACACATTTTGTTAACTTTTACTCGAATTTCAGGAAACATGTGCTGTCTATCAAAAACCCGTTTTAAATATTTTAAAATGCATTTGATTAATGACCGTTAATCTCTCTGCTA